TATTTTCATTGTAGAGAGTTATTCTTCGTCGCTTTTCATAAAGTCCTTTTGCAAAGTCTAGGTGCCCCGTTGGAAATTCTTATTACAGAATCAAAATTAGTCCAGGATTTTCTGAGCAGTTTTTGAAAGTAATAATTTTTGCAATGAGTTAATGACAATTATTATATATTTTAAAATCACGTTGTAAAATTAATTCAACTGTATATTTTGAGATATAATTTTCACTGCTTTCTTAGTTTTAATAAATGTTCTCCCATTAGTAATAATGCTAGTAACAGTCTTAACTTGTCCTAACTTGTCTTAATGGCAATAAGACTTTAATTTATATGATATTTATATGGATATTTGTTTGAATCCATATTATTAAATAAATTAATTCAAGTTTTGTATAAATAATTGGCTTGTTTTTTAATGAATATTTTAACAAAAATATAGTTACGAATATATATATTTAATTCTCTAACTGTTGATTGTTTAAAAAATTTTTTTTAGGTATTGGACATCCCGCCATTCTAGGATATTATTAATTATTTTAGTAACAATTTATATGTATACGTATATATAAATATTTATATATATGTATACACTTTTCTATAATAAAATACATGCGTGCGCGTAAATTATGAGATTATTATATTCAACAAATTTTGATTTTTGACATTTTAGATAATTTTACCATGCAAAATGTTTTATATTCTTAACATTATTATTGTTGTTTATTATTGTAAATACATGAATTTAATTAAAAATGTTTGGATACAAAAAATAAATTCGAGATGAGTCGACTGAATACCCTCATATTAGCGGGATATTAACAATTAAAATTTGTGAAAAATAGAGAAAAATATAGGAAATTATTAGAGTTATGTAATAGATTTTTTAGTATGAAATAGTTCTTAAAGTCCCACTATTATCGGGTTCGGCTTGTCTCAGTTGGTACCCGAGAAACTTTTGTACCCATTCATAAAAAAATTACAATAACGCATGTGTTTTATTATTATTAAATGTATTTATTCGTAACCACTATTCCATAAGAAAATCATTTTATTCATTCTTTTTTAATAAAAGATGATTTTTAGTAATAACACTTTTATGAATTTTACTGAAATTTAGAACATATTTTCTCACGGTATGTGACTTTTAATATCATATTAAAGATGCGATAAAAATGATAATTGTAATTGATATTTTGTCAAAATTATTACTGTCGTAAGCGATTTGGAAGAATCTTGATTCATACCTTTTTGTAATAAGACCTTCTTGTAATAAGAGCGTTAGTTTGACGGATCATTTAATAAACTTTTCTTTGCGGATGGATTTTATGAATTTGACGTAGAATTAGAATTCGTTAAGTTCGCTCTCCACTATGAAGATTGTTCTTTATAGCGGATAATAATCGTACCATTAAGTGGAGGGATCTTGATGTGGTCAAATTGTTGGGTCAGTTGAACGATTAATGTTTGTTTTCACCAATGTAGATTAACTTTAATCTCGGTCTTCAATTTACTCTTTGTCTTTTTCTTTAGAATTAGAAAAAGACGAAGAGTAAATTGAATTAAGTTGAGATTAAAGTTAATCTACGTTGGTGGAAATGGGCATAAGAGATAAATATATTAATGACTTTTTTATTCGTCTTATTGCTCGTGTTAGATAAAATTTAATAAATCTTATAATTGCGAGTTATTAATTAAAATTATATATGATGTAATTTAGCGGTGTTATCATACATTTATAAAATAATGTTGATAGGGATATGTTTAAAAACAAACATATAATATTTTTCTGAATTTTTGATTTCTTTTATATTATTACGGATGCATTTTGTTCCTAAAATGTAGGAACAGAGAATGGATATAATAAACTAGCGCATTTAATAGCGCAAATAATGTGCAATAAATAATATTTTATATAAAGTGCAATATTGCAAAATGTACAATATTGCAATCGTACAAAATAAATGAAACTTTATAATAAATAATATATGTAAAAGTTTTATTATTTTATATACAATATTTCATTTTTTAATTAGTCACAATTTTTTAGCATGAATTCAAAATTTTGAAAATAATGCGTTTAAAAAACTGGAGGGAATGGTTAAAACATGGCGGACCAATCACAAGTGATACCCGTATGGCGTCACTCTGATTGTATTCTCTCTAGTCTGAAGCACTCTGAATTTCGTTAATAGTTTCCGCTCTACCGTTTCTCGTCCAACGGCAGTGGCAGCGGCGGTAATGACTTTCGGCGTCTGGGTTGGAGACCGCGGACACGGCCGACATGGTTTTCTGCGCTGTGAACCCCGGTGGATCCGCTCTAATCGATTGCGCGGTCGCAAACAGCGTTCTCACTTGAAGAGTCGAACGACCGATACATCTCCTTCCTATCCGTCACCCCCGTCGGTCACCGCGGCGATCACGCCGATCGGCGACGAGAGAGACCTATCGAGAGGCCAGCGGCGATAAGTGAGTAATACCGCGGGATCAAAAGACGGATAAATTTTCGAACTCGTTGGCGCGTAAACCCATTCGCCGCGCTGTTTACTCTATTCCGCCGATGCATTTTCGCGTGTCATCCTTGCCGTACAAACTTACGCGAGTCTTTCCTGCCTATGACGGGAATCTGCGTTCTGATCCGGAATGCCCGGCACCTCACTTCTTTGACCGCCGCGCGTCTTACCGCCGAAGGCAGAAATACCGTTATGGCCGCGTTGTTGTGACCGCTTATTTATCATTTGTCACTCGATTATTTATTTGACCTCGTCTCGATGGGATCGCGCGGTCAAATAAAGCCTCACGCGCAAGGATGATATTGGCACCTACTTCGAAAAAACTCGGAGCATCGATCTTTGTTGAATTGCATGAGATTCATATTGTTACGGAGACAAAGACCAATTCACTGTGGCTTCTACTAGAGAGGAACCTGAGAGTGGTTCTCATAGAGTAATGATCACGTTTTTCTAATTCTTTTCCATAGTATTAAGTGGGTTAGACAAGAATGAACAATTAAAGTTGATTATTCGTCCTTGTCTAATCCACATAATAGTATGAAAGAGAACTGTGAAAACGTAGACATTATCTTACGAGGTTTGGTGAGGTTTGGTACACGAAAAAGGCCGGGATATCTTCTCTTAACTTTCTCTCTGTTTATACAAAGAACATGTAAACATAATTATATGTATTCTTGATTATTCTTATCCGGTTCCACTTATCCGAGTTTGTCTTGTTACTCTATTTGGCACAAAAGCAATATTTTACCTGCCCATTGTTTCGAATGTTTGAATAACATTATTAGTGATACAATAATTAGTTTCAACGAATTATAAAAATTATAATTTGATTGAAAAATTCATTATTGGAAATTCATTGTTTCAAAAAGGTTCAGAAATTATTTCAGAAAAATCCAGTTAACATTAAATAACATAACATTGTTTGTTTTAACCAAATTTCTTGAGCAGTATATTTTTTCTCTTTTGTTCTCCAATTGGAGAGATGAACCGTGCAAAAAGTTCAGTAACATATTCTTTCCAACCTTCAGTTAACAATAGGGAATGTTAATCGGGAATAAAAGAACTGGCTTGTTGACATTGAATTATTGTTAGCTGATGTAGTTATTGAATTTTTTTTATAATTGCAGACTTAATAATGACAGACGTAATTATACGCAACATATATTACATTACATTTATATTGTTGAGTATGAAATTATAACATTCATGTTATGTTATTATTATATTAAGTTATTAAGTTTGATTCTACCAGTGTAAAATTAACCTTAATTTCGATTTAACTGTATCTTTTTCTAAATCTTCTCTTTTTTAATTCTAATACATTAAATGGAGATTAGAGACCCTATGGCTACGTTCAACAGAAAAAGCAGCTTTGCAATTGTTGTTAGATTTTTTAACATGATTGGTTTATATATTTAGATCCAGTAAGGAACTAAAGACCAATCATATTAAAGAGTTTTACGATAGTTGCAAAGTCACTTTTTCTGTAGAACATAACTCTATAAACATAACAGTCTGACTAAATAACAAACAGTTGATTGGCCCATCGTTTTTGTCAGTTGGAAGTTTTTTTACAAGTTAGAATATCTAGACTGAATAAGATATTAAAAAGACAATATATATACCTTTCTTTCTTTAATTTTAGTTAAAGGCTTTTCTTATTTTTCCCGAATGAATTTTGGACCCGCTAAGGCAAGTCACAAGAAGTTTGTTTGTGTCGCATGCTCCAACGTGCTCCTATTCACTCAACACGTTCGTTAGAGAAAGAACTGTGGTAGGAACATGTTGGAGCATGTTGAAATATGCGACACAAACAAACTTCTTGTGACCTGCCTTAGTGGGTCCGAAATCCATTTGAAAAAAATAAAAGAAGCCTTTAACTGAAATTAAAGTTAATCTTACATTGATAAAACCGGGCCTAGTTGGTAAACTGTCAGTTTACTAACTATTCTATTTTTTTTTTAGCAGCAAGATGACACCAGAAGGATATACACGCGTTTATGTGGGCGGGTTGAATGAGAGCATCAAGAAGGAAGATCTACAAATGGAGTTTGAAAAGTATGGCAAGTTGAACAAGGTGTGGGTAGCGTTTAATCCACCGGGCTTCGCTTTCATCGAATTCTTCAACATGAACGAGGCCGAATTGGCTTGCTGCAACATGAATGGCATGGAGATTATGGGTGCAAAATTGAGAGTGGAGATTTCCCGGGGTAGAGGCCGTGGGGGCGGTAGGGGCGGTGGCGCGGGTGGTTTCAGAGGAAATCGCGGGGTTGGCAGTAGGGACTTTGGCTCTCGGGGCGGCACTACTGCGGGTTACAGAGGCAGTACTTACGCAGATTATGGAGGCAGCTATTATACAGGCAGGGGTGGCGCAAGTAGGGGCAGAGGTCGTTACGGAGAAGACTATATGTACAATCGCAGCAGCGGGTATGTTACGCGAGACGGATATACACAGGATGTCTACGGTGGTAGTAGCGGGGACACTGGCGCCGACTACTACACCGGGAAGGATACAAGCACAGCGAGGTATCGAAGCCGCTCTCCCGCCGGCCGTGGCAGGTATTGACGAGAACCCATCTAAATTGATATTGAACTCGTGTCACGTTTATTAGCAAGTTCTTTTAGCTCAAACGTAACAATCTTGTGGGAGCTAGGAAAGTACGATCAGAATTCCATTAGACTATAATCAGGGATGAGAAGTTACTTTTTATAATAAACGATTTGGTAATGACGTTGCAATTTTTTATGACTGTAACGATAACTAACTATACAACTAAAGTTGTGCTAAAATTGAAAAAGTCACTTTGAAAAGTAACTTTTTATATTACGTGTTTATTTAATAGTTTTTATTTGAAAAAAGTTATTTGTAAAGTAAAAAGTAACGCGTTGCAAATGGCCAATTACTTTTTTTAGTAACAAGTGACTTCAGACTTTTCCAATCTGTTACAAGTAATGACTAAATTACTTTCCCATTCTGATATTACTGTTGCAGTCATGAAAAAATTTGTTATCAAGTCATTATTATAACAAAGTGAAGATAAGAAAAGCAATGGTACAAGTATGCATTATCCCAACCCTGACTATAATTCTGATAATAGATTCTGATGATAGATTGTGATATAGATTCTGTTAAGAGGCATCTCGTGGCGTATTGTGATTCTACGATCTTCGTATTCGCTCACGGGTATGCGATGTAAACAGATATTTGAGTTTTACACTTAAAAATTCGTATCATTTAAAAGATTTTTGGGAAAGACTATTGAAATGAAAAGAACATTTTTAATAATAATCGAAATTTGGGAAAGATTCTAATAATATTAGTTATTGTGATAATGAAAAACTAGATAATCTCGTGTAAATATATAAAAAAAACTATAAACACAAATAAATGATTATGTCTGAAAGAAGTATCTAGCTCAAGGCAAAGCTTAAATGGATTATTTTACAGAAACCAATTTGATGCGATTCCGCATCTACCTATTTTACGCGAACATAATTGTTTTTGTGCTTTCGGTCTATTACAAACTAAATATGGAAGAATTCTACAAATTACATAAAAATTTTTATGTGCATGAGGATCAATCCGTTGCTATCATATTAAATATGGCAAAATTCATTTAATTGCATGCACAAAAATATCAAGCTACTGTCGGCTCTCAGTCAATGGGAGTCAAAAGGGGGCGAAGTAATGTGACAAACTGTTTTGCACTTCCATGTTCACAGTCATCGTCATCTACGTGAATGCACATAAAAGAACTACGCTGCGTCTTGCCAATCTGAACTGCGGGCCGATCAGCCACCCGCCTCGACGACTTCATTTCTGTCCAATCTACACAGCGACCTGTATATAAACAAGAACTACCATTGCAGTTTGCGCTGTGCAATGTTTTCCGTGCATTGTCCACTTCCATACAACCCGTGGTCGTTGCCGGAGAACATTTTTTATGATTAAAAGACTCGAAAGTTCCCTTGAAAAAAAAAACATTCTTTACGTTCGAACACGTGAAACACGAATCGCGAACTGCGAATAATATTTGAAAAAATAATTAATAGAGCTATTAATCTATAGAGATTATAACACACTATTTGCAATCATCATTTTATTTTAAACCGAAATCTATCGTGGGTTATTTTAGATCTCCTTTCTTTACACACATTTTAGATACGTAGGATTTTTTGTGGTCCTTGGTTTACGATTATAATACAGAATTCATAATTCATTTGCGTACATATAATCCCACCGTTAAAATAGTAGCATCTCGTAATTTTGTTGATTTGCTTGGCTTAGCTATCATTATTTTCAGCTTTCCGATAAGTTCGGAGATTGCGGTACAACGGTTCATAATCTTGTGAATATCATTCTCACGTATTTAGAAACGTGTGCTCGCTTAACGTTCTATGAATAGTAACGATTTTATATGGAATCGGAAAGGAGACAGTAAATCGCGCCAACACTAGCCAAATGCAAACTGCTGCTCGCATATAACAATTAATAACGTGTAATCGAAGAAGAAGAAATAGATATATAGTAATGTGTAATATATCTTGAGAATTTCGACGCACAAACGACGAGATCAAAAAATTGTTTGCGAAGCCAAAGGGATTCGCATCGAACATGATATATCTTCCACCTCGGTTTTGTGATATACGTGCAGAAACAGTGCTGCATTTGGAAAGAGATGTCCGAGCATCAATTTTTGTCATTTCAGATGCTCGTAAATAAGAAAGTGATAAAAATAGTGGTAATGATGTATATTATCTCCACTGTAAAAGATGGAATTGGAAATTGAGATATTAAACGATTTGCGCTCACTACTGACCGCCACCCTCTGCCTGCCTGCCTGCCTGCTTAATTGACTGACCGACTGATTATTTTTTCAGTTTATTATGATAACGTAGTCTGATATTTTTTTTTATCATTTCACGAACAATTTATTTTTATCAAATACGGGTTAGTTAATGTATACTTGGAGTTTCTACGATAACATACAACTTACAAGCAAATTTCCGTATTATTAGATACGTTATTTTTTAATATTGTGTTTGCGCTGACGTCATTTTAATATTTTAATCAAACTGACGGAAAAAAAGAGAATTTCTCGGAATTGACTTTAATCCAGATATAAAATTTGGACATACATAAGTTCACTATAAGTTGAAAGCATTCACGTAAGTATTTTAATAAAAAAGGAGAAATTATTAACTTATATTCATCAAATATTAATATAATTAGACAATTACTTAACATTGAAAATTAAAGACTTCAAATTCTTATATGATTTTCATAAATTAGATGCAGGATAGATTTTTTTAGGCAAGTATTCGCATTCTAGGTATCTCAATGCTTAATTCTTCAATTAATTTTTTTTTTTATTTTAAATAAAATAATTTGGTTCAAAATTAAATATTAATTTTTATTTAAAAAATAGAAAGAATAAAATATCTAATTATTATATAAATATTTAATATATTAAGTATATTCTTACGAAATAATATTTCTTATTAAAATCCATTTAACAGTAATAAAAAAATATTTTTTTAATTGATTATATATTCAGAACTTAATTTATTAATGCTTTAATTTTAATTATTAATTTTATTTTATTATCTAACATTTTTTACGTAATCAATATTTCATTTATATTAATTTTATAAATAATCGAAACAAAATTTTAATGACATTCTGTGTGCGTATATATGTATGACGGCAAATAGAGGTATAAGAATCGTATTTTTTATTTTTTATTGTTTTTCATACAAAAGTATATAAAATTACATGACTATCTTCTCTCTAGCTACTCTAGGGCTGTTTTTCATATTCAATTTTAATATATGTGTGATACAAAACTTAATTCATTCATTGTTTATATGTATTTGAAATTTTGTATCTTACATTTTTATCTTATAGAAGCTAAGACGTTAGATCTTCTGTCCGTATTCTGGAAGATTGCACGGATCAATTGTTTGACTTGTGGAGCAGTGAACTCCTGTGCTAATGGCCCTTTCCCATTTCCCCATCTGAGTTCGATTTGTTTCAGTGACGAATCAAGTAACTTAATCAGCTCCAAAAATTTCGTCCATTTACGTACATGTTGTTGAATCTGTTGATCCTATAAAATGAAAATGCTAATTGATTAACATTAAACGGAATAATGTTCTTATGGCTTAACTTTTACAGGAACCAGTTGGAATGCTACTATCTCGAGCAACTTTTTATCGTATCAAATGTATGACATTAAATGCAATAAAAATCTATGTCATATTAAACTTTTCGTATACAAATATACTTTATCTTTTTGTATTGTATTTTTTGTGCATTATATACTTACAGGAAATATCTGCGGCATTCGTTTTACAATCATATTAAATAAAATTACCAGTTCTTCTGCGACCTTAACTGGAATATCTTCGGCAGATATGATCTTCATTATCAAATCATCCATCATGGAATTTGTTATACATCCTGTGATGTAAAAAAATTAAAATATTAACATATAACAATGAAATGAAAAGAATCTGATGAATAGAAAAACTAACCAACGGCTCTACAATAAATATTTATAGGCAACACATCCAACCAGACAGTCTTTAATAGTTCCAATTGTCTGATGCATTGTCTTAATGCACGTTCGGTGCTAGGATCTAATTGAGGCGCTTGACTTAATCCTGAGAAGCCTAATTATAAACATATTTTAGCTAAATCTTTTCAATTTTAATTTTTTTCGTAGCTAATAAATAAATCATAAACCTGAATCCTTAATGATATCGAAGATAATATTTCTTTGATATCTCATGTGATCTAGGAAGGATTGCGACCCAACGTCTCGAAGTATCGTAACCTGATCCGCAAATGTCAAGTTTAATCTTTGAACAATTTTTGATAATCTGTCTCTGTATTCGTGCGCCAGTGTAAGCAGATGGTGGGCGAGATACATGCAATTATTGTGAAACAAAGCTAAAACATAATTGCAATAATAATTACGTAACATTTATTTTATTCATGCTAGAATTATTTCTGTTATGTCATTCTTACCAACTTGCTGCGGTATTGTTTCTAAGAACTTTTTATGATGCTCAGGCACCAAACCAGCATACATTTCAAATACGTTCCTACATGTATAAAATAATCTAACAGCGCAAGCATCCGAACTATCACAAGCCTCGTCCAATATTATTTTCGCTAATTCTAGTGTTTCTTGTGCACTTTTGCTAAAATAAATTGAATAATATTTATATTTAGTATCACTAGAGCGCTAGGAAAAAGTCAAAATCTGAATTCATAAAATTCATATTACATTAATTACTGTTAATTAAATGCACCTTATTTGACATTTTGGTAGATAAAATGACATATCGCTTAACTTCTTTTCAATAGATAATTCGCAGTCGTTCTCAAACGCTTTATCTATAAGTTTAGGCAGTTCCTAAAATAAAACAAAATTGAAAATCAAATGCTTTTCATTATTGGCTGGTATTCAGAACACATTAATGATATTACCTTATAATTCACGTTACATATGCTATAAAATCTTAGAAATAAAAACATGTTTTGAATACGAACCTATAACTCCTCTCTGTGTATTATTTTAATATAATAACAGTGAAGTGAATACCTGTGGTTCGTATCGAATGGAATCATGCAGATCTTTTCTCATTATATTTCTAGCTTTGGCTAGTAAATCCTGACATATCCTATTAATGAAGAGTTTATCAATGTTATTTGTGTACTCTGACAAGAACAGTTGATCCTCGGAAAGGAATCCTGAAATTATACATCATTTAATTTTTTGTATTATATACACTTTTATCTTATTGAATAATTAGATGTAAGTACCAATTACTACCAAATAGTTTTGAAATTCATTAATTGTTTCAACTACAGGTTCGAAGTTTTTTAGATCTGCATTAGAAGTTGGAATGGTGTGAGAGAGACAATCTGTTATCAAAGGATGTGATAGTTTTTCCAGTAGATGTGGTTGCAATCTTCTCAGGAAAGATTCATTATCCACTATCAGATTTAAATGTTGATGGAGGAACTTGAAGAGTAGGTTCAAGTTATACAGTACACCTTTGTAACATGGCATCTTTTTTTTCTCCAATATCTCTACAGTAAATATTTTCTCCTTGACGACATATACTGAACAGTGATCATAAATGATAGGTTTGATTATATAATCCATCAGTTTTGTAGAAAATATTTCTAATTCATTTTCAAGATGACCCATAATATCCAATCCTTGCATTAATTCCTGTATATCATCGTATTTGTTTTTAATAGTGATAGAGTTAATTGTTTTGCTTTCCTTCATATTGTTGCTCCAGCAGATTCGATCGTGTAAGAGGCCAGAAGCTTCCATCAAGCATGAACGAAAGAGATTGCAGTACTCATCCTTAATTGCTGTATATATTTCAAGTTCATGCAGGAGACTATGAGGAGTATTCAGCAGAGATTGCATTTGCTGTAGAGTTTTGGCAGTATCAACATACTGTTTTTCCTTCTGTGCCATTTGTATAGATTTTATGCACTTGTGTAGGCTTATCAGTTGATGGGATAGTTGCAGACTGATATTAGATTCCTTCAATGTTTGAGAGAGTGTCTTCAGCTCCTTTGTTGAACTAGACAATTCTATTTTGATCTATATGATAAATATAATAACATTAAATATCAATTTTATCATGACATTTAGCATGATGGTGTTGGTGTAAAACATACTTGATCATTTATTCTGCTTTGCAAAATACCAATTTCCTCCAACAGCTGTTCTGTCTTTTTAACCAAGTGTACATCTCTTGTCAACTTTGAACTAAACTCAACATAATTGTCGTCCATAAAATCTTTAACTTCATATTCTAATTTTGTTATTTCCTTTTGTATTTCGGTGATGTTTTTCTGAAGATCTGCTTTCTCAAGTTTACCTGTGTAATAAGAAAAACTGCTTAATTATATATTTTATTATAAATTTCATATATAATTACATGTATAAATACAATGTCTGCAAATACTACAATTTCTGACTACGGAAAAAATTGTTTTTTTTTTTCTGTATTATTCGTAAGACAGAATTGCATTCGGTATTCGCCAATTACTGTCCAATGTTTATTTCTATGAATATAGATTAACTTGAATCTTGGTTTGACTTATTTATATTTTTGTAATTTTTTAAAACTAAAAAAAGATACAGAATAAATTAAACCAAGACTAAAGTTAATCTTATATTGAAACAAATATAGACAAAGATAAAAAGTAAATTAAATCAAAAGTAATTTATATTTGTAGAAATAAACATTAATCAATACAAAAAGTAATTCAAACTGAGATTAGAGTTAATCTATATTGATAAATTGGTCTAATTATTACAATCATGACAATTTGTAAATACTACCTGCTGTAGCCAGTACATTCACTAAGAACGAAGTCATGTTGTAGAAAAACCTTGTGCGGAATGTGACTAAAATTTAGATGTCTTTTCTGTCAATCGTTTGAGCGTTTACACTTAAAAAAGCACAATTCCGAAATTGTCCCAGATCTTCTTTTTCTTATTATTATTATTCCCTTGCTTGATTTTCCAACCCAAAAAAAGGTTCACAATACTATGCGAATTTGAATCATATGCCAGGTCTACAATGAGTCGGAAATCTTAAGCCTGATCTACAATTGCGTAAACGTAAAATTTAATCGTTAATTTAAAAACGTAAAAATTAATCAATCACACTTGAATATGAGAATATCCGACTGTGATTAATAAATTGTTACAACTACGACTACTTACAACTACGTTTATGAATTGTAGAGCGAGCTTTATGGGCCTTCTACAATAAGCCATTAATCATAAATCAGAAGTCAGAAGTTAAAAACTGACGACTGTGATTGGTCAATTTTTAGCTTCTGACTTCTGATTTATCAACCAATGGCTTATCGTAGAAGGCCCATTAACTAATTTTAATCTAAATAGGTTGAATTTTGGAACCGAAAAACACAGGAAAACATGCATCATGTGTCATCGGCTTATCTCTTTATTATAAAACTCTTGAATATGATTGGTTTATACATTTAGATTCAATGAGGAATTAAGAGTAAGACCAATCATATTAAAGAATTTTACAACAGTTGCAAAGCTGCTTTTTCTGCTGAACATAACCATTCAATCACATAATCAATACAATTGGTCAGTTCTTTCTCCATTCGAGATCTTGAACAAATTTCTAGCAAACGTGAACAAAGCTTTAAGACTCACGCTGTGAACATCAAATAGAACGTATTCTTGGAATGAAATCATTTCATTCTAGTTTGTCGAATATTGAATAAAGACAAATAATGTTCATGAGCGTTGTGAGCGCCAAGTAAAACGCACTCTTGAAGAGTTTGAAAGAGTAGCTGCGGTCCGATCGATCGGTGACCGAGTGAACCTAACCTATTACGATGTTGATTCGCTTACTGACGAGTTGGACTCGCGAGTTCGCGTTGATCGTCGCGTACGGTCGTTCCCTGCGGCCAGGACTCGTCACGTCCAGGAAGATCCGCAGGAAACGCGTCAAGAGGATCGCGCGCGCCGATGACGATTGAGATTCCAAATTGCCGTATTAACCTTATCGTCGGTGGTGTCATGTTGTGATGTAAACAGATACTGCAGTAACGAAAGTTTAATAACATGAGCAAGATTAGATTGGGATCAGAGTATATTCCATTGACGGAGGACGACATGTCGAAGGCCCGTTTCATCGTGCCGTTCTCCAGAGTGGCATGGTTCACCGTGTTCCTACCCTTCCTGGCGTTCATCTTTTGCGTCGCCTGGTCGATCCTTTATAACTTTGAACACTCCACTTCCACTCATTGTCAGGTATGATTGTTAAGTCGCTAATTATTCGCGCGAGTCAATCCTCTGATCTCATAAAGTGCTTATTGTGGATGTGTTATTTTTTCCTTGTTTAATATTCAGTAAACAAGGATGCATCGTGTGCATCATGCACTTTACGGAATTGCAGCCAATAACAGCTCAAATAGCTGTTTTTTTTCATGACTCGATTGCCGGGATATTTTACGTAACTTTGAACGTAGCGTTTATGATAGGTTTCTGAAGGAATGCGTCTCGTAAATTTAATTCATGAATCAGCAAAAATTCAGTTATATAACATAGCTTTTGAAATAAAGATATTTCTGTATGAGAATGAAAAGTTATAATTTCATAAGCTGTATATTAATAATTTTTATTGAAAAACAAGAGAAATATGAGTAAATATGTAAAATGAAAGAAAAATATACAAAGCTATCTTGAAATCTAAGCCTATAATAAATTACAACTTAAAAAAAAACATAAAAAATTAAAGTAGTAACATTTCAAAATAATTTGTATGTAAAGAGAAGAGCTGACAAAATAATAATAATAATATAATAGTAATAAACAGTAATAAGCAGATTATTATCTGCTTTTATCAATACATTAATCTTAGTTTAATATACTTTTTTAGTTCTAGAATTATAAAAAAATAAAAAGTAAATTAAACAAGATTAAAATTAATTTATATTAATAAAAATGGATATATAAGTTATATAAACCTCATGAAAAGTAATCTTTTTTTCTTCTTGTAATTTCTAGGTGTACAATTTTTTACCATCTGTCTCAGCAGCCATAGGTCACTATAGACCTCAGAAAGATGTATGGAAGACTGCTATAGCATTGCAAGCATTATTAAGAACCTTAGTATTTACATTATATTATCGTTACTACAAGGAACATGTTTATAAGTGGGCAGAATATCTAAGTAATATCGTGCTCGTTGTATATGCCATTGAAAATACTTCTCTGGTGACACTGAGCTTTTGGACTTCCAACGAGAATTATGGTATGCGAATTACTGCATGCGTTCTAAGATTTTATATAATTATGCATATGAATATTAAGTGTAGCATATAATATATATAATTAATGCGCTGCGTTGCTTTTTTACAGCGTTCCATAAGATGTCTTTCATAACTTTTTTGATAACATCATTTATATACATGTTCGTAGCATATTATATTATGAAAAATTGCCTAAATATTGCAAAAGGCTCGAACGATGCTTCCTTAAAGTGGAAACGAAGATCAATGATGCTGAATGTGATATGTATATTAATAGCATGCTATTTCTTTTATAGACATAATAAATATTGTGAACCCTTAGGTGAGATATTAACTGATATTTTTATTGTTATGTATAGCAATATAGTTCTTGTTATCTTAGAATTTTAGAGCTATATAATTTCAGTATATTCAATGTTCGCTTTAAGCGAATACGGAGTTGTACTTTCAAACATGGGATATCATCTAACTGCTGCATTGGACTTTGCTACCACACGTCTTATGATATCAGGAAACAAACTTAGAATTATCTAAAAATTTTTTTAATTACAGTTTTATCTGTGTATATGTGATAACTGTTACATATACTTCAATTTATACTTTTATTATATATTATTATACATTTTCTGAGATCTTTATGTATTATATCTCCATACTAGAAAATAATTTATTAATTAATTTGTACAAAACTATGAATTACAACTTTTAGACAACATGAACTCATTACAGATATTAATGTCAGATATATTCGTCAGTATTTGTAGCAGCACATTTTTTTAAGGCACTTTAATTAATGCTAAAAGATTCCATATATAAAATTTTGTACGTAATGATCCCTTTTGCTATTATCTCGTTACAAATTATTTCTTAAATATTTATTAACAATTCATATATATTAATATATTTAAATCGATATAATGTACAAATATATATTTTTTGAGATAATAAATTGCTTACAAATACAAAAATTATATGGCACATAGAAAATATCTATATTTTCTTTGGAAATCTTTTTAAATACTCATTCTGTTTCACATTTTACATTTGAGCGATTAGATAATTACATGTGTGTATTGACTTGTATTAAAATTTGAAGTCCCGATCAAGTTTATCGGCGATAAATTTTGCTATTGCCATACTACTAGTTGCAGCTGGTGACGGCGCGTTTCGGCAATGCAACACTCTGCTTCCAATCACGCCGGTGCCTCCGTCGAAAACGAAGTCATCGACTAATTTACCGTTTTTATCCAATGCCTGAGCTCTTACACCTGCCGGTCCCCTGTTAACAATAATGAGAGAAAATTTTACGAGTTTATAATTATAAATGGATATAGCGCACACAAAATACTGACCTTTTTACATCTTTGTATGTAATTTCAGGAATAAACTTCTGGAGATCTTTCACAGTTAAGGGATAGAAAATCGATTTTATTGCCTCCCTGCAGCCTAGTAGGAAATACCGATAGCATAATTTGTATAAACCAGGGAATTTTGCCATTTCTATGCAGTCTTTTATGTTTATGTCAAACCAACTGAAAGAGAAATCTTAATGTCATGATGAAGTCTAGATCTTTCAAATACTTTATTATAATAGTATAAGTCTAATGGATACATTTAGATTCCTTGCGAGATACTTGTAAAGAATATTATTCAATCTCATAGAATAAATATAATATTGTTATAATAATACCTATAGCCTTCTCTAGCGAACGCAAGAACAGCGTTGGGACCCAACCAGATTTCATTGGAAACCCTGGGTGTAAAGTGCACGCCCAGGAACGGGAATCTGGGATCAGGTACCGGATACACATTGGTCGTGCAGAGATGTCGTTTGTCATCATTTAACAGAAGATATTCGCCACGAAACGGTACTATTCGCGGATTTACATCGCAGCCCGTCATCACCGCTAATCGATCTGAATGTAGACCAGCACACGTCAGCACATATTTCGTTGGTATGCACTTCGAAAGAAAAATTGCCAGAATATTAACGTGACAATAAGTGCAATAAGATAAGGCTTACGGAAGAAAATCTTACTCGGTTTTTCGATTGAACGGATATGGGGGATAATTGACTCTTCCCTTTCGATTCCATCATCTCCGTAAATCCGATTACTTCAAAATTGAGAAAGATCTCGCCTCCCATTTTCTGAAAGTCTTCGGCAAAAGATTTACACACGACCGCCCAATCCACTATACCGGTCCACGGTGACCATAAAGCCTTTTCTCCCTAGAAAAGAAAACTCGATTATTCACGTTTATTTATACATTTATGGTGTTACATATTTATGGTAACTATATTTTTTTATACAGTTATAAATTCTTCATTGTTTAGCATATTAAAAATAAAATTAAAATATAAAAGATAAATACAAAGATTAAATTTCTATTAAAAAAAAAGCTTTATTTTTATGTATTTGAAAGATGTAATTAAAACTTGTGACTGTGATTAAAACTTGGAAGTAAATTTATAACAATAAGACATTAACATTACATTATTTTTTTTATGTATTTTTATTAATTTTTTAATGTAATTTTTATATTTATATTTTATTTTTAACACAATTATTATTTTTGCATTATACCTTGCATTTGGGTTCGTATTTTGAAATGCAATCTTTCTCAATAATTTGTAAATCGGGCACTTTGTTTTTCATTCCTTTATCGAAAAGCTCATCTATACTCTTGACTTCAGCCGGATTTTGGGCGACAATCAGCTTGCCAATTTTCTTATGAGGTATGTTGTTCTTGCAGAAATATTCGTACGACAATTTCAAGCCTTCTACGCAAAGTTTTGCCTATAATGTTAAATCATGAATGTTTTTTTAATCTTTTTCTGGGAATATTGCGAGGATAATAAGTATTTGATTAATTTTTTGTTTTACACAGGTTAATTAAAATTATTTTTATTATTTATTTTATAGAGATTGAATATGAAATATATTATTTCTTGTAACGATAATAGAAGGGAGACTATTTACTCGTATTATATAGGCAATAAAGATTAATAATTTCTTCTGTCAATCTTATCACAGGTCCAGCTATTAAAATAACTGCATGCAAGAAGTTACATATTTATCTAAATTTACCTTCATGCTTCCAGGAGTGTAATAAATGCCAGCGTGCACCACACCACTATTATGACCCGTTTGATGCATAGCTAGGGCATTCTCCTTTTCCGTGATGGCTATTTTCATGTTCGGATGCCGCATAATCAGCTCGCGGGCGGTCGCGCAGCCGACGATGCCACCACCCACGATCACCAGGTCGTACATAGAACATGTGCTAAAAATTTCGTTCATCTGAATTGTTCCTTCTTGTACAAAGAAAACAACGGGAAAACAATGGGCTATTTCAGGCAAAATGTCAGATTTGCTTCAACGCCAAATTTGAATTTTTTTTAATGCAAAGAATCCCACACACAAAACCATGGGTTTATTGATTTAGTGAAATTGGTTTCAATTGATATGTACGTATTTTGGTTTTTTTACTTACTCATAAAAATTTAAGTTTATTTAGGCAAAACCATAAAAAAAAAGACAGATTTAATTGTACCACCATTTGAATGTATTGAATCTAATCGGACTAAAAATTGAGTCTATCTTTATCTATTAAACTATTTAATTTTTTTTGTGTGTAACTGTACCTTAATTCATTTAATTTATTTCATGCATGAAATAATGAGATGAATTGATTGATGTAAAGAAAACACATAGTTGCTTTTCAAAAAATTATGCAATGTACATACTTGCGAATTACAAATCTTTTCTTAAAATAATTATGTGTTTTTCTTACACTAATTAATTCGTCTCATTTCGTGCATAACAATATTAAGGTGCAGTTACTAAAAGATAACATTAATAGATAAAGATACGTTTTAGCTGATGACAACTTTTAAATGATGCTACAGTTTGCATCTCTTTCTCTTTTATAGTTTTGCCCAAGAAAACTTCTGATCAGTCAAAAACTAAACATACTACAGTTTAAGCCAATTTCACTGAAATCTAAAAATCCATAATTAAGTTTTATGTGAGATCCTTTCAAAAATTGATTCATGTTAATTATGAGCAATATCTTGCAAATTGTAGCAGAAATAATAAATAAATATTTAAAAAAGATACCTAAACAGAACAACAAGTCTCAATAATGTCAAAATAATGTTACAATAAATCGTACCCGATTAAAAAATTATTTCTAATAAGCATTTTGGAATCACCTCGATGTCATTTTGATTTTATGTTCTGTTTGGGTATAGTCAATAATTCAAAGAATATTTTTAGCAAACATTACGAGAAATTTTACATAACACATAGAATTCCTACAACGCGGGAAAATGCACGGGACGAGGATGTAATCCGTGTACAGACATACATGCCCGTCAAACTTTCTCCGTGTTAAGTAACAAGGTTGTAGCTTCACGAAGTACGTGAGATGTTTATTAATCCATGGCTAAAGAGCTTATTATCAGATGTTTGCTGGAGGTTTGGACAAGAACTTAACAGTTCTAGGCCGGATTAAATGGCGCTCATTATTAAACGCTGTCATTCCGCAAGACTTTAAGGGATGGAGAAGACAGTAAGCTATTCGGGATTTCACGGTGTAAATCTACAAAGAGATCGATACCTTGTCGTAGACTGATGACGACATATATAATTCAGCTGCGGTGCAGCTCTCCTGGTCAGAGACATTATTACGTTCGTTCCCATTACGTCGGATTCGTAGTCACTTCAGATTTGGACCGTACGCTTTCTACATAGAATCATCACGATGAATCTGGACGAGAAAGTGAACAATTAGGTTTTTTTATTCACATTAACTGCTTGTTTAAAACTGCACGTCATTTTTACCTCGATGACTAACATCCAATTTCACGATTTCTCTTTTTTTTCTCACGATGATTTGTCGTTAATGATCGATAGCCCAGTTAAATCAAAATTTCCGAACAATCCGCAAAAGAATTAATTAAAATTGCATAGTCATATTTTATAAAGCAGTATTATAAAATATAGAGTTAATTACACTCAAAAAAAAAGAGATGTATCAATAGCAATATTTTAATTGAAAATAATGTTGTTGAATTAACAACAGTATTAATGAAACAAATAAAATTTTATTAAACAAAAACATGATGCATTTTTTTTATTTATAGTGTTATTATAGTGTGAATTAAGAAAATTATTTTCAATTAAAATAATGCTGTTGATATAACATAATTTTTTTTCAGTGTAAGAAACGATTTTTATTATCTCTAAATGATACATTTAAAGAATAATTAAATGATATACGAAAGAATCTTTAAATTATTTTTTCTTCCTTCTATTTTTTTAACTTGCGCTGTCCATCGATCACGAAAATCGATAAAGCCGTAATACAATATTATACATCGTAAAACGACAATCATACATTATAAAATTATTTTTAGAATGAGTTTCTTATACTAAAAGTTACTCCAAGAGACACCCGATATAAAAAAAAAGATTCTCAAACTATAACTTCACACTATAACTTTATTTATTCACAGGTCGATCACACAAATAAATTAATGTGCATTGTGCATTGTGCGGCAATAACTAAATATATGCATCATCATATTTAAAATACTTAAGAATTCAAATTTAAAGTGAGTTTCTTATACCGAAGTAATATTTAAGCCTATTCTACAATGTGTTTTTTGTTTCCTGTTTCTTGCCTTTTATTATTTTTTTACATCTTGTCTTTTGCTTCTTATCCAGTTTTTTGTTTCATATCGCCCGAGATAAAAGTTAACGAACTTCGAAAGAAACAAGAAATACGTAGCAAAAAATTGTTGATAAAACGGTTGCAAAGAAGAAAAAAAGCAAAAGATAAAAAGCAAGAAGCAGAAAACAAAAAACACATTGTAGAATACCATTTTGCTCCAAGAAACATTTCACACGAAGAAAAGTTTCCGAATTATTTCTTCCTCTTTTTCACGAACTACTTTATTGAGCCACACATGAATCACGCGAATCGATTGCGTAACGCAAACGCAACAGTACGTATTTGTGATGTAGCATTGCAGCTGATAACACGCTTGCATGCACTACAAAGTAAGAATCTAACCCGGTTGCACATCAACGTTACTTTAAGCAAGACTTAAAACTCTCTCCGTCTCGTTTTAAAGCGAAAGAGAAACAGAGACAGAGAGAGTTTTAAGCCTTGCTTGAAGTAACGTTAGTGCAATTCAGCCTAAAAGGCTGCCTTCTTTTCCCTCCTAAAAAAAAAAGCGAATTAAATTAAACTCATAGATAGTGAATTATTACGAACGGAAAAAAGAGACGTCTAAATCAGTGAATGTTATCAGACACATTCGCAATATTCGCATGTTATGCCAAGTGTAAGGGGCTCCGCCAATAAAAGCAACAGGGAACAGAGAACAGAGAATAAGAATTTCAACCTATCAGAAATCATGTATTGTGGAATACACAGTTTCTGATAGGTTGAAATTCTTATTCTCTGTTCTCTGTTTCTTTTATTGTGCGGAGTTCCTTACTTTCAGAGCATAACGCGAAGTTATCATAAGAATCATCGTCGAGAAACTATCTGTTATCACGCACTTCGGACGATGCAAAATCATGCGATGGGTGTACCTCGTGACACGTCTCCGTGTTCTCACACGTGTCGTCACGAGCAGCTGTGAACGAACGATACCTATTTTTCATGCTGACAACGAGCTAGTCCAGTGACGGCTACAGACTGAGGCTCCGGCAAAATTGATCAATAATTAAATGGCAATCAGTAATCTCGAAAAAGTTCATTATTCTCGTTGAGTCTCGTCACTCCGATTATTAAAAGTGCAATCGCGATTAATGATTGACCCTTCAATCATGATCGATTATTATTTTAGCTCCTCTGTTATATTATTTACATTTTACAAAATTGATGATTATCAATTACTAAATAATTATAATCGTTAATTATTGTTCTATGCATCTCTCTCTCTCTCTCTCTCTCTCTCTCTCTCTCTGATATTTTATAAAATACAGATTAAAAGTAGATATATAGAAGTTAAAATATAAATAATATAAATATATGTTTCGATTTAGTCTTTTGGGAGATGGAAAGACATATTTTGCATTTATCGAATTAAAATACATTTTTTAAATATTTTCTCGAATAAGATTGTTTAGATTGAACTCAATATTTTATCTAATTTGAAATGGACGAACCTGAATTTTTGAAATATTGGGTCATCTAAAAAGTATCCGCGGTTTTTTGTCACTAGATGTGTGTTGATGGTCATATATCTAGTGACAAAGTACCGCGGATACTTTTTAGATGACCCAATATTTCGATGGTTAGGTTCGATTCTTAAAGCCGATAAAACAGGCATCCAGTAAGTGGCGTTCTCGCGCGGTGACACAGTGAAACATTTCGATGCATTTGGGCAGGACATTTTCAAACGGATTCCTCGTCGTCATTCGCGCCATATTTACATTCGTATATTGCGAAAAATGGATATTTATTCGTATAAATAATGCGCATTTGTTACTTTATTTGCGTTTCTCGTATCTTCATCATATATTACGGACACATAATTAAAGATAAACGATCAAGTTGGAGCTGGAAAGTATGTAAGTTTCGCAATTTCTCTTTGCGTTCTCTGCTGAGCTGTTTCTCTTATACTCGCCTCTATTAATGTAGATTAACATCAATCTTGATCCAACTTATTCTTCTTCTCTAGTTCCAAGAAGAAGATGAAGAGTAAGTTGAACCGAGATTAAAGTTAATCTAAATTGGTAGAAACGGGCATAACATATAACCTCTCCAATTGTTCCTCTCTCTCTCCCCCCCCCCTTCTCTCTTTCTCTCTTTATCAAACGAGATTATCCAAATGTATTTCGTTTTGCATATGGTAGATAGAAAAAAATATGTAGCTGGAAGGAACAACTCTGACATTATACACTGAAAAATTATTTGGTACTTGACTAATTGCATGGCGAAGTAATTATAGCTATAATTGTAATTATACAAAAAAAAATTATAATATTGGCTTTGAAAGTGACTATAAATTACGTAATTAAATTATAATTCAATCACAATACTATGAATTTACACGCGAAATAATAACTATGTTTATCACAAAAAGTAGCTTTGCACTTGTAAAATTCTTTAAAGCTGGGTTGTTCCATCTTTTGATAAACTCCAGTTCACTGTTTTACTCTCTTACTTTCTTATGATTTTATGAGCTTTCTACAATAACCCATTAGTACTAAATCAGAAGTCAAAAGCTAAAAATTGACAACTGTGATTGGTCAATTTTTAGCTTCTGACTTCTGATTTATGACTAATGGTCATAAAAAATTTATGACTAATTATTGCAGAAGATCCATTACTCTTTTGTTTATGCTTTTGTTTGTTTAGGTAAATTATTACATAGTTCATCCGAAGATGACAACAGTGACAACAACCAGTCCTAATATGATTAGTTCTATGCCAGACCAGTCTTAGGTCAGTCCTAATAATATTAGTTTACACATTTAGGCTGGATTGTTTGTTCCACCTTCAAGTAAACTTCAGCTTATTACCTTAAGCCATCATATACAAAATGATAAGCTGCATAACCTCAGCATAAAGCTGCTGAACTAATGAGCATCTTATGTAAATCGATATGGCGTTCTTATGTTGGATTCTCAATTGTTCAGCAGTTTTATGTTAGTTATACAACTTATGTCATTTAAGAGCAGTATTCATAGTCGGTTCTCACTTCAAGATTGTCTTAAGTAGTGTTTTAAGATGTTAATATAGCCTCTGGTTCGTGATTTCTTAAGACTGTACTTAAATCACGATCTTGAATATAAGATTTCTGAATCTATAAGATCTGACTACGAATACCAGCCTTTTGTATGTGATGGCTCTTATTCTGTTACTCTTTTATTCTTTTGTTTATCCAGTAGATAAATTATCACACAGTTATCGAAGAATAGAACAACGTTTAGATCTGAGAAATTAAGGGCAAGAATTAATCACATTAAAGAATCTTATAATAGTTATAAAGCTGCTTTTTTTTTACTAAATCCGGACAATTTTATTAACTTGAGATCAATCATATATCTTGAAATAGAAATATATCTTGAAGTGAAAATTACAAAAGTGAGCAAATGTACTAGGCTCCAATGAAAATATAAATATTCTATAGCGCGTATTTTTATAATTTTCACTTTGTTTTAAAATAACATAATCCACTTCCTTGTTCTCGAATCTCGCCCCGATATGATAAACTAACTGTAGATTCTCAGAAGTAGCAGCTTTCAGACTGGTTCTTTTGATTCGCGATAAATGAAGGAAGTTACAAAATTAGATATTTTAAGTGAAGAACCGATAGTACTCACAATCGACTGACCATATGGACAAAGACGAGTATTAGCGTATGCAATCGCCATTTAATTTAAGTTCGAAACGCGTTAATTTTATATTACGACCATGAAATCTCAAAATAGGTGTCTGGCTTTAAACAGAACGTAATGGTTGCGCGTCAGTTTACCGTCAAATAATCGTGGTGTTAAATAGAGTCGAGAATACAGACATTAGAAATGTCGTTTACACGGCGCAAATGATCGAGGCCGCCGTGATTTCGAAACAGCTTTTTTTTCCCAGGTGACAAATGACCGTGTCGGCGTCGTTTCCCTCGGCAAACAGCGCGCTTATACAGCCCCGTGGAAATTAATTAACACGCTAATAGCGTGTTAGCGCGTTATCGACGATGTTTTCCTCCTTTGCACGTACTTTTCCTCATTGCATTCTGTGATATAGCCGTCAAACTGTCAAATAACATCTCTAATATTAACGATGCTTTTTGAAATTATTAAGTAATATTAAGCGACATCCAGCTACGAGCTTCTCTCCACGATTTTATCTTTTCCATAGAATACACAATTTCGTTAAGAAATTATTATTTTCTAATAGTGCAAGTTGAGTATTTAAAATAAATGTGTTAGGAGATAAATAAATTAAAAAGTATGAATATAACCAGATTATTTGTATTTATACAGTTCAGTTGGGCGTGTATTTTCATAACACTTAAAATATGTAATAACAAATTAATAATACAAAACTGTTTAAAAATCGGAATCACTTATCACGTTCTTTGCTGCAACATTGGCTGTCAGAGACCCAAACTAATATATAAAAAATAGAAAAATGGATAGAATTCTTAAAGGTTTGGGTGCTTTCTATTTGATGGCAAGCGTTCTATCCTTGTTGACATTTAGAGAGTGACAAAGATAGAACGACACTTGTGTCGACTTGTGTCATCAAATGGAAAGCACCCTTTATCTCTTGTTCTAACTCTTGTTTCTAACTTTTAGCATGATAGATTTTACCCTAATAACCACTGAATGCATAGCTTAGTGCTCAATAATTTCATTGTACGTTAAATTTAATATATCGATAATTATTAGGGCAATTTAATGATATATTGTATCTCTACGGAAATTGCTTGAAATTAAACTCTCGAATAACACGTTTCTATGTAGTTAAAAGACTGGAAAGCTACAAGTTGAATGATTTTCAATATCTATCGAAGATCACGATCAAAAAATGATATTACTTCTTACTATGTCAATGATGTCTTTTTATTAAGTAGCATGGACTTCGAAGTCGACACTCGACTTGACCTCGTAACATATGAGTTGTCGTTACACGTGATATCGAAAGAAACGAAAGACGACGACATGGTAGATATTGTTTCGCCGAGGTTTCTCGCGGTGATAAATGATCATGTTCACGTTTCACGGTTCCTCATTGTACGAGAATGTATGAACGCGTACGAGAAGTCGGACGGTCGAATGGCCGAAGAGTAATTGGCAGTTACGCGATGGACGTAATCCGATTTATCATTTGACGAAGAAAACGGGGTAATATCTCCGCGGGAGATAACATTATGCTTAATTGGAAAGGAAAACGCACAGTAAAAATTTCCCAATTGCCTAGTGGTTCGTATATAATCCTCTGGAACTGAGACTCTTCAGTGTATGTTGACATTTATTGGATCTATTCAATTATATTCTTTGTCACAAATGAGTCATATTCGGTTAAGACGAGTTTAATAATATTTTTGTGAATTTTTGTTTGCATTTTAATAAATTACTAATTGCTTTAGTAAATTACTAGAAATTCTCTGTTTTGTGCGATGCATTTCTAGCAATTTACTAAAAGTAGCAAGTAGGAAAAATGAGGAATGTTAATAATTATCAGTATATATATAATATCGTATGGAGAGATTTTTGTAGCATAGTATAATTTTATATTCAAATTCGGTACGTAATTTGTTTAAAATATTATAATTCGATAAAGCATTCTCATGAAAAAAAAATCTACTTACAAAACA